TTTCTCTAATTCAGCAAACATGCAAAGTGCATGTTTCTACTCATTTAAGCCTGTTTATGTTTTAAGTTATTTTTGATATATTTTTCTGCTAATTTACAGAGTTTTAACTGTCCTTTCATCGTTTTTTTGCAAATTTCAGTTTGTTCCTGCTACTTTTAGCTTATTTCTGTTAATTTCAACTGTTTTGTGCTCAATTCAGTTTCTTTCACTTTTAGCACAATGAATTTTAGAAATGTTGAACTAAACTTTGGTGTGGTAGTTGCACATACTGAAAGCTAAGATAGCTGCCAAAGCTAACACAAGTTGTCAGTGGGTACTTTCTTGTTYGAGCTAGCAGCAACCGTGTAATGTAGAAAAGGTTAACTTCACAGCTAGTCACATGAAAACCTTTTAGTCCTCTTTTCCAAGTTACTCAGTTTTATGGAGGAGAGATGAAACATCAAAAGGACCTACTCAACTTTGTTTTAGATTTTTCTACCTGCATTCTGAGATGCATCTGGATATTTCAGACTAAAGTAGCAGCAGGTGTTTCATATTATAAAAACTACCACTGAACTGCAYCTGACTCACACAAGGCCTGTATGGTCAACAACACTCCTTTGTCCTCAGCAGTTATGTCCAATTGTACAGGGGTTTCTGGACAGAGAAATAAATACATTAAATAAGTGAGATTCAGAATCTAGAAACAATACGCCAGTGTACAAATCTTTAACAAGTCAATCATTTAGTCATTTTGTCTACAAAAGTGCAAGCTGTTTTTCAAATAACATGAAATGAAACCGTCAAGTCTTCTGGGTCACTCTGCAGGAGAGTTTGGCTCCGTGTATGAAGGGGTCTTCACACCGGAGGAAGGAGGTGACATAAAGGTGGCTGTGAAGACTATGAGAGGTGAGTACCAGACCTCCAAGACCTCCTCAGAACTCATCTGTGCCTCGTCAGCTTTTTGATCAGTTCTCTTTATTTTTAGTTGGAATCTACAGCCRGGAGGACTTGCATGAGTTTTTGAAAGAGGCAGAGATTATGAAGAACTTTGATCACAAAAATGTTGTCAAACTACTAGGTAAGAAACTAAATGTCCAACTCACAATGCAGATGAAGTGAAAAAATAAGTTCACAGCCAGGCAGTGCGGCACCATTATTCATACTGATCTCTTGGAAGATTTCACCCTCTTTTCAACTAGTTGGCAGCTCCACACAAGAAATCAGATTTCTTGGTGTAATAATGGATGAGAGATATCGTTTAAAGCACATTTTAAAACACATTCATTCTAATGYTGCGTTTACACCAAATGAGTTTTGAGTGTSAGGTTTACATGCAAAGTCTATCCTGGATGCTTCAGGTGGAAAATCTGAACTTTTGCAGCTYGACRCAGATCGTCAACCAATCAGAAAGACTCCACTGTGTGACGTGGTGACACATTTTCCGATGGGATGATTTCCTGAACGATGTCCACTAACCTAAGACAGACAGACAGACAGACAGACAGACAGACAGACAGACAGACAGACAGACAGACAGACAGACAGACAGACAGAACGCAGTGTCAAACTGGGCTCGGGACAAAAATAGTTCTGAGAGCGAGCCTCATCAGCTGTCATATCCTGGAGTGGTGAAATTCACCAAACAAAGAACATCACTGAATTATCTGATAACTTATTTATGAATTAATTAACTGGTGAGCGTGATATGCTCTCGGTCTCAGTAAATAAAGCAAATCCACTTCCTTTATTTCATCCACCATTAACGCACTTGATGCTACCAATGTGTTATGTTAAAACTGAACAAGGTTTAAATTAAATTAACACTAAGTTAAGTGTAAATTATAACTCAATAGTGATGGGTCATGCTCAAAACTGGAGATGTGAAGTTCACGAACGATCCAAAGCGTTTGAACAGCTCCTTACAATGAACAATAGTTGCGGACAGTAACGAGCCATTTGTTATTTTTTTAATTTTTTATTCCTCACATATTATTTATTTTTTCATCCTTAGGTCATTCCCGCTTTGCTTTTACATGGAAAACATTCAGAGTGGTGGAGTACAGAAGCTCACGGGGAAAAGGGGAGGGGGTTTCAGTTTGACAAAACACATGGTTTCATCCGCGCAACGTAATGACATATTTACGTGATGACGTAACTCGTTCAAAATCGAATGTCTCCTTTGGATGGTTCTATGMAACAAACAGCTCCTCAAGATCCGGATCCCTTCAAAGAGCCATTTATCCCATCACTACTCACATTGTAGTGCATCAGAAAAGCCAGCTCCCATCAAATGAGAGCCAATTTTTTTCTCCTTTCACTGTTCTTGTGGCCAATCACATGCAGRRATATAGGACATGGGTGGGCAAACATGGGCAGACCACAAGCACCCTGGCCACAAGCTGATATCAACTCTTTTCAGTGTTAGATTTACACTGTTCATCAATTAACAGAATGTCACAATGGAATGACCTTTCACACACTAAGGAGTGCCTCTCCCTCATGGTGTCATTTACAGCCAATGAAACAGACGTAGACGTGAACAACTAACCAACCTAAACAAGACAACTAACCAGAACAAAACATTTTTACATGCATGAACGATTTTAATAGTCATAGTCATTTCTAGAAGTTTACCCAGAATCCCTTGCTTAGAAAATTCTGGCCTGAGTGGGCGGGGTTTTCCAGAATACTTTTTCAACAGTGCATGGTATTAAATAACAACACTATTAAGTGTTATCTAAGACTTAATAGTGCACAGAGCCTTATTTAACTCTGTCCAGTGTTGAGACAACGCTGATAAAAATCAACTGTAACACCAGCACAGGATGTCAGTTAATTCAGAATGTGTCCAAATAACATTTTGGGAGTCGAAATCAACTCTGAAACGCTTAACACTGAAAGTTTAACACTTGAAATTTTGCTGTGTATTGTTAAATTATTAGTTAAAATTCAAGAGATAATATTCAATTAAAAGTTGTTACTTTCTGTGTTGTGAGGAAGAGTTTGTCTCCGTGTGTGGAGTGAAAATGTGGAATAATTTGAGTGTGGAGTTGAAGCAATGACCAAACATAAAATTGTTTAAAAGAAAAATTGTTTTCATGAATTAAGAAGATTTGTAAAATGATGAYAATAGTTACACAATTTTAAGATTTAGTACACTATATAAACACACTATTAATTCCATGAAAATGTATTTAGATTAGTAAAAACTGATAATGGCGAAGGAGTGACAATAAATACTACTTCCTATGATTTTTGGACATATGACCTCTACAGATAGTGTAGCGATACTTGTCCACTTTTAAAGKTTTTTTTCTCTCTTTTTTTATTTTTTATTTTTTTGGACATGATTGTCTTTAACATATTTGAAATAAAATAAAGAAAGACTGAAGCAGAAACCTTGTGACAAATGTGTGTTTTGCTGCAGGAGTCACTTTACAGAGCGAGCAGGATGCTTCTCTGCCTGTTCCTCTSGTAATCCTTCCTTACATCAAACATGGAGACTTGCGTCGTTTTCTTATTGCGACACGCTACGGTGACATTCCCATGGTAAGATTAAAAAACTGTCACAAGACAAAAAATAACTAACAAATACATAAAGATGGCACAGCTAATAAACCTTGCATAAAAACCTGCACAAAAATGRCTATACCCAGTCACTTTGACAGACACTAAGCTAAAAGCTGATGGATACTGAGAGTCATTATTAACATAGGTTTACATGTTAGTGTTGGATTTCTAATACCGCGTGACATCATATGGAGTACTGAAACAGTTTTTTTAAAAAGCAAGACTATATAAATGACCCAATGAATGAATAATACACTTAAAATGCACAATCAAAAAGAAAAAATATGTAGGTCCTCTGGATGGGTTCTTTAGTGAAGACCTACTTATTTTTTCTTTTTGATTTTTCTACCTGGATTACTGAGATGCATCAGGACATTAAAATGCACAAGTTAATTAAAAAAGGAGAATTATATATCATGTCTTATAATTTGATTGACTTTGTAGAGACTAAGTTTCAGACTAAAGTAGCAGCAGGCATTTCATATTATAAAAACTACCACTGAACTGCATCTGACTCACACAAGGCCTGTATGAATCATATTTATGTTTTTCTGTTTGTTTTAAATTATAAACTTTATAGCACATACTGTAAYTTAAATGTTACTGTTTTTAAAGATGTATATTTTTGTTTATCTTTAGATGCMTTTATGGCTCTTAAACCTTTTAATAGAAATTTTTTATTTTTTTCCTACAAGTTATTTTTTAAGGTAGGTAATTGCATTGTGATGTTTAATCTCATTTGCAAGAGACCTGTGACACATACAATATCAGTTACACAAAGATCATGAATGTCAAGTTTTTATGTCAATGAGTTTTTACATTTCTCTGTCTCTCATGCATTTCTACCTCATTATGCAAATAAGGTGGGATGCTTTTCTCAGGTCAGCTCTACTATTTGTCAACAGACATGACGGAGCAGGATCCATGTGCAGATAGATCATGCATGCTAGACTTCCTCTCAAATAAAGTGTGYTTTACTGAAATGGCCTGCAGTGCAGGCACGCACAATCAGTTTACATATGAATCTTGCTCCTTCCTGTCTATTGACCAACAGTAGAGGAGCTGACCCAGAAGGACAGCCCACCTTATTTGCATAACGAGGCAAAAATGCAAAAGRTAAAGTAAAAACAGKAGACATAAAAGTGCAAAAACAACAAACGCAAAATTTAATTTATGTGCTAAAATGTATAATTTGTTGTAGCTAAGCTGTAAAAATAAATGTGAAGGTCAATTAAATTATAAAATATGTGGGAAAGTTWTTTTTTTATTAATTGGTGCATTTAGGGTGTTATTTATTTATTATTGGTTTGAACAAGCCATAATGTCAGGGTTGTTTGATTTGAAATGCACAAGAATGTTGTGTTTGGGTTTTTAAAAAAATCCTTCTGAATTTTCTGTGTTTTTTGTGAAAAACCATGTTCCTCATGCAGTTTGTGCCCCACCAAACACTCCTGCGATTCATGATTGACATTGCAGCAGGGATGGATTATTTGAGCTCACAGGGATTTTTGCACAGAGATCTGGCTGCTCGGAACTGCATGTGAGTCTTTCTTTGGCAAGGGGAAGATGGAGACTCAAAATAAAAAGGTCTATGTCTCTGTTAAACATTGTTGAGCATTTGAGCAGTAAGCAATCTCAGTTTCAAAATCACAGAGTTTGAAGTTTTGGGACAAAACCCCAAAATGTGTCAGAAACTTTTATTCTGATTTTTTAATTCTGAAATTCATTGATGATGTATTTTTATGTTTTGTTTTGCTTTTTTGCACAGGTTGGGTGATGACCTTAGGGTTTGTGTWGCTGACTTCGGCCTGTCAAAGAAAATCTACAGCAGTAATTACTACCGTCAGAAAGAAGCAATACGTGTTCCGATCAAGTGGCTGGCCATTGAAAGCCTATCTGAGTCAGTTTACACAACCAAAAGTGATGTGGTGAGTGTACAGAGGAATGSTTTGGGATTTGAGTACAAGTAATCACATTGACCAGTTACAACAATCTAATGAGTAACACATRACTTTTCACATTGCCACTTTAGAAGTGGGCGAAATATCAGTGGGTAAAAAGTTTGTCCATGAAGCTGAYATTTTAAAATAGGAAAATTGGAAATGATTTAAACCTTTTGACAAATCACAGTGCAGTGTAATACTTTGAGAAATGTTCTGATAAGAAAATATGAAGTCAAATGAGCAAAATAGTGGACGCAATCCATTTAGCGTGTCTGCCTTCATGAATTATGCAGAATATATGGAGGTTTCTTCCTGTTAAGGGGGAGTTTTTCCTCTCCGCTGCTCAGGATAGGAAGCTGATGAAGGAAAGATTTGGCTGGCTTCTTTAGATTTTTTGGGTTTTTTTTGTTTGTATGCTATATRACTAAACTGAATTGAATTTAATTGAATATATGATGATTATCAGAAGGTACAAAATACTGGAAAGAGAAAATTCAGATATAAACATTTAGCAAGGAGGCAGGTGTGGAGAAGGAGTAGTAAAATGAAGATTTTTTATTTTTTGCAAGCAGATAGACAAGCAAGACAAATCCTTTACTACTCTCTCAAACCAATGTTCCTCCATATCAAGGTTTTGAACATCTTCATCCCTGAAAGAGTGACTAATGGACYRTAGATGAGTGTAAACTGCAGAGTCCTGGTCTGATGCTGTTGCTCTTCTGTGTTGAGCCATTCTTTTGAACAGTGGCTGCTTGGTCACAGTCCTCCTGGCACTAAACAGCATACACAGCATTACTCCGTTTGTGCCGGGGGGCCTGGACATTTGGGGTGAACCAGTCTTTGACCTATTGTGTTTTGGGGTTTGAAAACCACTGGGACGTCATGTTTTGAGAATAAACATCTCAGTTTCTCTGAAACTCCCGCAACATCAGGACCAAACTGGTTGATCCACTGTGTAAAGATACTGCTTATAATACCCTTTTCCACCAGTGCCACTTAGTGTAGTGTCGGTACGGTTCGTTATGGTTCCAAGCCATTTCCATTAGGCCAGATCCATGGAACCGGCACTTTTTTTAGTACCTACTTCATTGTGGTTCCAAGCGGCCCCAGCTGACACCAAAATGCGACGTCAGAACACTGTTCGTCACTGGTTGGCTAAATTTTTGCAAATGTTTAAAATTTCAARAGTTATTCATCAAATGTGTTTCCATCTCTCATTTTGCCCATTAATTTTTTTTGAAAATACCTAAAAACCACCTCCACCAACCACCCAAAACACCCATTGGAACCGGACTGGAACATCAGTGGAAAACCAACCGGTCCGAACCGTTCCTACACCAACCGTTCCGACACTACACCATGGAAAAGGGGCATAAGACTGCTCATAAGAGTTTACCTGCAACTCCTCAGACTGCAAAAGCCTCTTAGATAAAAGACAAAACATTTCAATGAAGAAGAATCCATTCARAGGACCAGATTCAACCTTTTGATTGCATCAGATAGCACAGTGTTAACTAAGCAAATCAAAGCCATGAGAACACATCACATTGTCCAGMAATTTAAAATCTTCTATAAACAGCTTTGTGTCACAGGCCTTCTGGGGTCTTATCCCTGTATCAATGAGTCACAGCTGGTTAGGCAGTAAATGTTGAAAATACTCAATATAAAGAGGGTGGTCATGATTCGTTTTGTTGCATTTACAACTTGAATTGTRTTTTTGTTCCTGTCTTCAGTGGTCATTTGGTATAACTATGTGGGAGATTGTTTCTCGAGGAAAAACACCATATCCTGGTGTTCATAATCATGAACTGCTGGATCTGCTGTTGGATGGACACMGACTGAAACCACCTGTGGACTGTGATCAGAAACTGTGAGTGTCTGTATTTTTCTTTAATATTTATACATTTGTATAATTCTAAAGGTGTTTTTAATAATCCCAAAAGCATTAGTTTGAGTGTTTTTTTATTTATATGTAATTCATAAAATAATAATCAGTCCAAAATTTGCTGTAGGGGTTTGTACGATTACATATACATTACGAGTACAATGGACTCTACTTGTACAGYGCTTTTCTATCCAACCAGGACACTCAAAGTGCTTCACATTACAATCTGTGTCCTCATTTACCCATTCACACAGCACTCTATTAGGTCTCTACAAAGCTAACATGTACAATCATCTATGGAGACTAATCAGTGCCAATCACATTCATACACTGATGGGACACACATCAGAGGCATTAGGGGTGAAGTGTCTTGCCCAAGGACACAACAACTGAGACAGCTGGACGGGGGATCGAACCGGCGACCTACCTGTAAGACTCCCCTAACCGCTCTGCCCCCAACATGTKTGTATTTGAAAGAAAGTCTAGTTTGATTTGTAAAGACGTTTACATGACAGTATTTGTAAAGGGTCTAAATCAACCCTAAATCTGCAGTCATGGGGAAAAAGTCCAGTTTGTTTSAATTCTACAGTTTATGGATGATCAAGTCTTTAAAAGGTTCTAAAATAATTCAAATTTAATTTCAGGTTGTTGGTCTRGAGTAGCCACCACACAAGGGTTGAGCAATATCGAAATAAACACTTATCATGATCAGTTGTTGCATTTTGCCACTAATGACTGACAATTAATAGATGACAACTGCACTTATCTGCAGCCGATGTTGTGGCCTTAGTCCTCATTTTCTGGCTTTCCTCGTACTTCGGTTTATGTTGGCATTCCGGTGAAAAAAAGTTCATAGAGTTAGAGTTAGGGTTAGCATAAGTGTTAGCTGCTCCACATCATCTTCAACCTTTGGGCTCACATTCATGCCTGATAAGTCATCAATCATGTGACACAAACTGCAATAATTGCAAAGTGGCAAATATTAACTGTTGACATTTGTGTGATTTGTATGATTTTGCCCAGCCCTGTTGCACATTTTTGAAACAGTAAATTAATTTCAGAATAATCTTTCTGAACAAAAAAATTGAGATTCTTAATGTCTATCAACCACAGTTTATGATATAAACAAAGCATTTCAAAAATCTGTAGAAATCTCTGAGTTTGAAGGGCAAAGCAAAAAGTGAATATTAGATAYAAGGTGGACCTCAGGGGCCACTTCTTTAAAAACAGGTAAAATACATGCTATTCTATCACCACATGGGTCAAGGAAGGAAAATTAGGATAAGGTGAACAAAAATCAGAAATTTTAAATTGTATATGTATATTTCTGTTTATTTTTCTCTCTCTTTTACACCTGGCAGTTATGAAGCCATGCACAGCTGCTGGGAATCAGAACCAAACCTGAGGCCTGACTTCAGAGATCTACTCAACACACTGACATGTCTTTTGTCTGAGCTTCCAGTCCTGGAGGCCTGTCATGAAGCCACATACATCAACCAAGGCTTAGATGTTGCTGCAGCTGCATCTGAGGATCCTCAGACCAACTTAGCAGGAAGATTGGAAAATGAGTACTTACCTTTACCAGTGAGTGAAGATGGAAGTGGAAACAGCCGCAGTCCCAGCAGGGAGCATCCTCCACCAACGTGAAAGAAATTCCGATCAGTTCAGTTTAGTGTGGTGAGGACTACATTTATCAGGCTCTGCTTTGAGGCTGAACAAAAATAAATAAATGACAGGATTAGGATCCTCAAGGGTCCCTGAGCACACATTCTCAAAGACTTCCCACATCTTTGTCACAGATCATTTTACACAGCTTTAATGGATTTTCTGCTAATTGTTTTTTGATACAACATACTCAAACCTAAAAGTGAAATTGACCTTAAATGAGTGCAAACATCTAGCTCATCAGCCAATAAAGATTCTTTTGTTTGATCACAATTCAACACTTCAGCCTGTAAAATACACTGTGGTACATATATAAAGTTTTTTTTCATCTCTGAACAGTGATTTTGAGATAGAACTGCTGAATTATGGAAGAAAACTAGAAATTCTTTGGTCAATATTGTTATTATGAACACTGAAAACAATACATGGAGTTTGGAAAAAAATGCATTTTTTGCACTTTGCCGAAAAGTTACATTTTCTCTCAACACTTTACTTTTTAAATTTTGCTTAAAATAACAGACTGAATAAAACAATTACCAAAATAAACAGAGGAAACCAGCAAAGAACATTTCCATTAAATTGTAGTCTTAAAATATTTGTTTTTCTTTCATTAAGTCCCATGTTATACAGGGTGTATCAGAAAAAAATTATACTCTCAAAAAATCGCCATAAAATTAACATAAAAATAATTTTGAAAATGTGAGTGTAACCAATGTGTATTTTGTACTTTGTTATAATTACACAAAATGCTCTGTTAAGTTGTTACACCTGGYTGTAAACACAATGAAAACCACTGTAAATGTAGGCATGTGACCTTGTGATTGAAGCCCCTCCTTATTTCTTCTTCTGTGGTATTATTTTGTTAAATTGTTTGCATCCCCCTGGGCTCCTCCCTTTTGAATTTTGTCCTGTGGGAGAGGTGGGTGCTATTGATTTTTCATCTATATACATCCAGTTTATTTATAGATGTATCAAGTGCATTTTTGTTACCATCATCACTGTAAAATATAYATACACCCTGTAAAGTGAAACAGCTCACATTTCTTCAAGTTAAGACAGAGCCCAGAGGCAGATGAAAACAGGTCTRTTGTTTGAATAGCAATGGGAACTTCAAGGGCATTTTTTTAAAAATAATGTAGTGTCGTCTGCTAATTGACTRGTTGTAATTACTTTATCTGCTATACAGATGCCCTTTAACGGGCTATTCTTTATATGAGAAGATAGAAGCTGTGTGCAAAGGATGAATAAATACGGAGAGGCTGGGCAACCCTGACGGATTCCAC